GTCGGGTCGGGGTGTTGAGGCCCGCGCGGGGATCCCGCCGGGCCGCGGAGGAGCCGTTTGGAGCAGGGGGCCGGCGGGTGGGCCCTGCACGCGGCGCCGAGCGGCCGCGGGCCGGGAGCGCCGTCGCAATAAGCTACGTCCCCTGTGCGTGCTCGAAACACTCGTGGGCGAGGACAGCTCCTAAGGAGTGCTGGCGTCTTTAGTGCTAATATAAATATTAGTAATTCAGCGATTTCAAAATCTCCAAATTAATTTTACGTTCTCATGCGATTTACCTTTTGTTACAATGATCGTTGTATTCTCCCCTGTAAAGACAAATCAAAATAATCCCCGCTAAGAGCTCTCTTGTATGGACAGCAGGCTGCTTTTGCGGGCAAAGGAATTGGCATTAGTGGTTGCATTGCTTTTCGTGGAACTGAGATTTTTATCAGCCCGTTCATTACTTGCCCCTGTGTTGACTTCCTTTGCTTTACAAAAAGAAAATGTGTAAAACTTTTGTGATGCTTTACCATTGGGAAAGCAATGTTAGTACTGTCATCGATTAACAGAATAAAGTAACTTTTAAAAATGGAAAATGCAAACTTTCAGAAAATTTGTGCTTTATGTCATTGTTTATTGTTTCATTTAAGGGTTTTTAAGGTATGTTGGCGCCATTTTCGCTGCATGTTGCTATTAAGCGAGGTAGTCCAGCCTTCCCCCCTTTGGTGCCGTAGGAGGCGTGCGGCCCAAGGACGCTAACGGGAACGGGAACGGCCGCTGTGGGCCGTGTCCCTGCCCCCAGCTGGGAGCTGGAGCGATACCTTAGTGCAAGGGGGATCGGAGGGACTCGGCGTGGGCCCTCGCCCCGTTTACCACAGGCCTGAAAGGCTGTTTTGGTGAAGGGGCCGAGCTCTGTCTCGTAGTCCACGAGCGGTGCCACAGGTGATGAGGGAAATAGTGGGAAACTAGTGGTGGGGGTTAAGCTTTCAAGGATACATAGGGACCTGGAGAGCCCTCCCAGGTGCACAAGGTGAACAGGAAAAAAAAAAAAAAACACTCTTTAATTAAAGTACAACGTACAGCTTAGAACTAGATAGTACAGCTTTCCAAATGGTTGGCTATTTTATTCATACATCTGTCAAACTATTCTGTAGTCATAAATGACAAAATGAATTAAAGTCATCATTTTTTACAATCTGTTCTAGGTACTGTCATGAGTCTCAGAATGATCAGAGTTTTTAAGAAGGCCCTGTGGGAGTAAATGAATAAAAACAAGGCAATACTTTACTGCATTTGATTTATTGCTCAAAGTATTTGAGGCTTAGCGACAACTTTTTGATTATATAGATTGCTATGGCAGAACAAAGAGGTGTTAAAAGGTGCTAAAAAAAAGTCATAAACTTACTCAAACTAAATACTTTTTGTGCTTCTTTTAAAAGCAGTACTGCACCTGCATATTTTGTTTGGAAATTTTATTGGAAAATATTGGAAGCTGCAGTAGATGGAAGAAACATTCGTAAGGCAGAATATTGGCTTAGTACCAATGAAGACAAAAATATCTAATTCTAGACAGAATGCATGCCAAGCTGTTTTTGAATAGTTGCAATGAATTCCAGTTAATTTATTATAAAATATAATCTAGACTTTTCATGCAGTGTTGTGAAAGGAAGTATTTTGACTTCTGTCTGAAAATACATTTTATGAATTCTCTTTGCAGGAAAAATTGATGTTTAATCTTTTTGAATAATGACTTTCCCATTATTTCTGCTATCTATACACTAAGGGGAGAAATGCTCACATTTCAAACAACAGGCAAAATGATATCCTAAAACAGAGTGCGTAGATATAGAAGTAAAAATAACCCATTAAAATATGTGGACTGAACTGTTTCTACTGAAAATCAATGCTATTCTTCTCATGTCCATCCCAAAATATATTAACGTGTATAGGGTACAGCCAAAAACAAATTAGTATTATATTTGCTATTTTTTCTTAAAATGAAAGTTATATTCAGGTGCTTTCTTTGTTCCTACTTCATCACATCTTGAAGTTTCTCTTCAATATCCTTTTTTTTCCCCAAATACTAGCTTGTTGTTGATGAGCAACAAATTCTTATTCTTCAAATAACAGTTTTATATTGGGTTAATCTGTGGATGCAGATGCATTAATTTCTGGTCCCTTTATGATTCAGTTTGTGTTAGTATAAAAAAAGGTCCAAAAGAGAAGCAAATGGTGAAGTTAAGACATTGCAGCCTTGTAATTAATTTATAAGCCACTCTCACCTGCTACCACTCGAAATTCGTAAGTAAGGGCACTTCATTCATATGCCCTGAAGGTGCAGATGGGAGTAGGCGAAGGGCAAAATGTAATTTCATTTTCTAAACAAAGGCACATACACTGCACGCATCCTGGGCAGAGAAGCTGCTGCTTTTTTCTCTTTTCTTCAGCACTGCCTATTTGCAGCCCACTTTCTTAGCAGGCCCAGCTTGTACCAAGGGCACTGCCCCTGTGTTGGTGTCGCCAGGTCAGTGCAGGAGTTTTCCTCTCCGTCATGTTTTTGCCGTCTTTATGCAGTAACCTAAGAGCTTCTAGACTTCATAGATGGACTCTAGATTTCTCAATTTGTTGAACACTTTAATAAAAGCAGGATGCACGTCCCTGTTTTCATGGGATGCTCTCAGCTTTTCTTTTGCAATTCCTGGGAAATAATGTACCCACCAGAACAGGTCTTCTAGGGGCATATTTGTTACAACCGCTTGTGTTGGAGCCGAAGTTTACCCCAAGGAAATATAGTGTTCAGGGATACAGGGATACACTTAAGGGTATAAAACTTAAATCTAAAGCTGTGGATACAATTCTCGCTTGCATTCTTCATTCTAAAACCCCAACTGCACCTGCTGCCCTCATTTTCACAGAATGCTTTTCTTTTCCCATAAAAGTTTAATGCCTCTTTCTGACTCTGAACTTCCTGGAGCTGCTGCTCCCCCTGTTGTGTTTTAATTATTATTATTATTTTTTTAATTTCAACTCAGGTAGTCAGGTAGCCTCATCATAAAGTGGCAGTGATCATCTCAGATCAAGACAGCAACTTTTTAATGCAGTTTTCCCCTCGGCTTCTATAAAATACTGTAACAGTATGAAAATATTTCCGGTGTGTTGATGACAAAATCCTGCCATTATGTCCACTTTCTAATGGTAAAAAAAACATTAGGCAGCATAAACAGTATGATGAACTCTGCTTAAAGAGAAGCAAACACCACCTCATCAAGCTTACCTGAAAATAGCATTGAAGTAGCCCCTCCCGCAAATTAAGAAAAGCTTGTTCTGTTTCTCTCCTCATCTTGCACTCTAGAGTGGAGTTACAGATTAAAAAGTAGGAGATACATATCCAAATTCAGCAGTTTTAACCCAGAAATTAGTAACACCAGGAACTTCAGGGTGTCATCCAGGCCATGTGCCTGCTTTATGGTAGATCTAAATACACCTCATCTAGGAAGCTGATTGTGTCATAGCCTGTGATTCTTGGCCACAGCTTTTTTTTTAGCCAACTGTATATGAAAATAAGGTGCATGTAGGTGGGGAAAGGGTATGAAAAGAGATAAAAATCAGTAAATATGTTCCCTTCAGAACTAAACAAGCATTTCTCTCCTTTAGTGCAGACTCTGGTTGAGTTCACTTAGTTTGAATACAGATGGTTAAAATGGACTGATTGCTCTGAATTTTACTTCTTTCGCGTAAATTGATAATTTTAACCTGTGGAGGGGAAAAAAATGCCTGGGTTTGCTAAAGTACATGGCCTGAATGTGACCTACCCAAATGGGCCTTTCTTACTTTGGAAAATAAAATCCTGTGTGACTAGGGGCTCCCTGTGTTTCTTTCTGCACTCACTTGTATTTTCTGCCCTCCTCAGTGCCCACACAGGCCTGTACAAGTAGCGTGGCAGGACAGCGTAGCTCAGCCGCCTGCCTCCAAGCTCTAAGCAAATGTAACTAACTGCCATTCTGTTACTTTTTTTACTAAAAGACAAATGCAGGTAGGATACAGCTCTCAACTTGGACTAGAAAATTTGAGAGGTGTGTGAGGAGGGTATGTGCTAGACATGGCAAAAGGGACAGCAAGGTTTTTCACCATGAAACAAAGTGTTGCTGTAAATGAAAATAGTAAGTTGAAGCAAACACTTTTCTTTACTAAAAAATTGGGCATGATGCATGTAAACTGCAGCTTGTATTTAAGTAACTGTTTCTTGAATGAATTATAACTGCGTGAGACTCTGACCTTCAAAGGTAAATATTCCTAAGAGGAATTATGAAAAGAATCAGGGCAATCATCGTATGGACGGGAAGCAGAGTATAGGGACAAGCTGCCTTGTCCTGCACTGCTGGCAAAGGGAGGTCCAGAGGGCAAATGTTACCATTTACTGTCCAACTCACACACACAGTGCAAAAATAATTTATAGTTTATTACTCCTGTGAGAAAAGATAACAAACTCATGTTTAGAACCAAAAGTAACAGAATTATCCAGTTATACTTGAAAACTCCATACATATTCATACACAAGCTTACTATATGCTGTACATGTGTCATAATATGAATTTGAAAATTTACTAAGGGTAGAAGTATTTGCAGTTCTTCTATTGTAGTAAGTGACAATATATATTGATACAGTTAATGGTGTGCATATATATATATGTATCTCTCTACGGAGACATATAAATATATATCCCAGAGGAGTAATACATGCACGCCACAGCAATATACACGTATGTGTGTATATACACACACACACACACACACACTAAAACAGGAGTAAATTTCTATCCTAGAGCCAGCTGCCGACGGCTCAGAGGGCGTTATGCGGTGAGGGCTCCCCGGGCCTTGCAGCAGGAACCTCCCCGTGGCAGCGGGAAGCACCGGGAAGCACCGCGCTCCGACATGCCCGGCTTTGTGGAAATCTCTACAGCAGGCGCCCGGCCCCCAGCTGGGAAGGGTCTGGACTAAGCCCCAGAGAAGATGAAACACTTTAGATCATCACTGTACGCCAGGAAATCCAGGCACTTAGAGCTATCAGTACTTTTATTCTTTATGTTGCAGAACTATGGGCGAAAGCTTATCTTCAGGAAAATCGAGAACAAACTTTCCACTGACTTCACTAGGATAGGACACCAGCTCACATCCTAACTACACTGTATTTTAATGAGTCCAGGAATTTTAAACGTTCGGCAAAGTGCATATTTTAACAGAACCATTCAAATATTCATAATAGCTTGACTGAGCTCCAGAGTCAACATAGGATAAACTCTCTACAAGATAAAGGCACAATATTTACAAGTACTGTTACCACTGCAGCATTTAAATAAGCTGGACTAAATAACCACTACCATATTTTTTTAACAGATGAAAATTATAATATTCTTTCATAAAAGAGCAGATATGCTTGTGCATTTAGTACTCGTGATTCTGGCACCACCTGAACGTGAGCGTCACTAACATACACCCACTGTCCTGCCGATGCTCCCACAGCCTCTTTTAAACCTGAAATGCAAAAACAGAGTCTGTCATATTTCTGTCTTTCACTATTTATTCAAAAAGTCAAAGACATTTTAAGTACAGCTTACTGAGTTTTAACATGAAGTTATGCCAGCACCTGGGACTGGTTCTGACAGGAAATAATTTTATTTTGGAAGCTAACTAATAGCAAACGAGGAACACAAGTTTAACGAGGATTTAATCAGTTTAAATAATCATTCAAGGGAAACAGAACTGAGGGAGACTTCTGTTTCGAAACATTGTCATTCTGGGAGATGAGCTTCAAATGCCAAGTGATATCTCTCAGGAAAGGCAAAGGATGTGCTTTGTTGGCCCTCCCGAAGCAGAACAGTAAATACATTCACCTTATTCTGAAAACTCAACACTCTGGTCTCCTCAAATCACTACCACACTCTATCTTAGAACCTTAGTTCATTCCACACAGCTAAAACATATGATAACAACATAGCTAGGACAGGTAAGACATTGAAAAAAAGAAGAAACTATTAAATTAAATTGGCATGGGTTCAGTTCTTGCACTGGCATTTTTGAATGCAAGATTTGTCAAAATAGTTGTATTTCAGGGGACATAACTCTTGATGTGAGTGAATAATTTTGATTAGAAAAACAGATGTTTTCTTTCCATCAGTTTTCTGTCCAACTAAAGCAGAAGTCATTGTTCGCTCAGCAATAAGTGGAGCTAATATAAAAGTATATTATATACGGGGTATAATGTAACCAAAAATGATTTGTGGGGCTGTACAAATACCTGAGACTATTCTGAACCCAAATACCTGCTTTCTATAAATGCAACTACAGCTACGGAGCTGCAGCCAGTGGCTCATTTTGGTTTTCCTCACAGAGAAGGGGAGTTCGGTTGTACATACCTAGAACGTTTTTAGTGGCAGAAATATGCTCCAGTATTTTCTTGGAGGGTGTCCTGACTTTGACATATGCTGCGTAGTGACCTCCTCTCATTGACCCGCTGTGCTCCACTATTCCATAAAGACTGTACAGCACTCGGGCACCATCCGCGATGTTCTGCATTCCAAGAAATATGGAAGATCAAAATGAGTTATTTCATGATGGATTTTTGTCACAGTTATTTTAATTAGCTTTGAACAATATTGTTTTAAACAAGGCAAACAGACAGTTATAGCATTTCCACTGGTGAAATAAATCCATTAAAAATCCTCAAGAGTCTATTAACTGCATCCAGTTACCATGGAAGCAGCAATACTTGTCTTGAATGCTGCTAGATGCAGTAAAAGGGGGAACCACAGCTTAACTGCTACTAAGTAACTAACATCAAGCCCTTCATCTCAATGAATTCAGGATACTATTTTAAAGCATTCAATATACAATTCACTGGGGAAAAGGAAAAAGGGCACAACAGTAATAAAATCAATCCAGTTTAACTGTGCTCAGATCAGGACAACAGCAATTATTGAAACAGTAATGAGAAATTTACAGATGGGTACCTTGCAAGAAGCAGAACAAAATGGTGCCAAGTCTAAAACCAGTGGGAAATCCACGTGCCTGTTTACCTTCCGGAGACTCAAACCAGCCTTCAAAGGAAAAACAGCAGAAAGACTAAGGTAAATATTTTTATTAGAAGCTTAAAGCCTAGTATATTACTACACTATTAAAATAAGTCATGAGCAAGAATAAGCTTTGTTTCTTACTTGTTCTTACTTTTTCATGTTTTTAATACATGCTACACTCAAACATAGCAGAGACATAAGACGCTTCCATGGATATATCTGCAAGGCTAAGCACACATTCCAAAGGTATTAGGGATGAACATGAGCATGTTTCAGAACAGAAATAATTGGTGTCTTCCATCTCTCCATATATAAAGCAAAGTTATGCACAATGACACTTAAGGAATAAATTGCTTGTCCACCAGTGTGGCCAAGGAATGTTCCAGATGGCCATTTACCTGGTGGAATCTTTTCAGGTGCAGAATAAGAATAGCAGGAACTGAAGAAATCAGCAGCTGTTTCCGAGCATTTGTATAAACACCTTCCATTTTCTTTTCTGCATTCAGGAATATCAAAATGACAATTTGTAAAGGTGAGAGCAGTCACACAGAATAGGTGTATGTTGCAATGATTTTTTGATTCATTGATTATACTTCTGAGAAGTTGCCCAGCTTATACTAAAAGTGTCTTTTTGTTTATTTAAAAATTTCTTTTTGCTCAGTGAACACTAATCATCTGTTTGGACTACAGAAATATAAATTCTTCTTGCAAGAAGGTAACTCTATCTCATCTCCATTCTTCCAATTCTTTTAAACCAAATTCTTTAAAGATTTTTTCCTCTTCTTTACAAGCATAAATTTTTGCTTCAACACATCCTTTTTTACAGGACTTCCCTAAGCATTTAAGTTACTACAGCTGCAAATTACAGCATTTATATCGAAGCTTCCAAGACTGTAAGGACTATGTAAACAGCAGAAATATTAACAACAAATGATCAGCCTATCCAACTCAAGGTCATCTTATTATGTATTGTATTTATTGTAATTTTTATTGTATACAGTTAAAGAAAAAATGGTTTAAAACTAAAGATGTAAAATAAATCCTGTTTTATAATAGCCTTCTAAAATTTAAATTTGTTGCCCTAGCAGGATAAAGTTTCAGGCTGCCCAAGGCAAGTTTAGCCTGGGGAGACATTTTCTTGTTTAGCCACGGGGGGAAGCCTGCTGCTGGAGCAATGACCGAGGGGCAGCTCTGGGGAGCTTTTGTCACGCTTGTCATTTGGTTCCGACCGTGCTGGCTGGCCCGTTACCTGTGGCGCTGGGTTTCTTCTGATACTTGTGTTTCCGCTCCGTGCAGCTCTCGCACAGAAGCTTGTTGTTGCCCATGAGGAGCTCTACGGAGGTGAACTGGTAGAGGCAGGACTGGACGGAGCATTCCTTGGAGCTCGTGATGTAACTCTGCGAGAGCGTCTGGAAAGCGTTCTGGGGGCTCGGGCAGAAAGCGGGTTTCTCCACGGAGAACACGGAACTATTTGGCACGCCGAACGCCGGGTCACCACGGCCGGGCTTTTCGGCTTCGCGCGCGGCGTCGCACAGGCCGAGTTTGGCCACGGCGCAGGAGATGGCCTCGTCGCTGCTGGCGCCGGGCCTGCCCAGCGGCGCTCTGACGTTCGCGGGCCTGGCGCGCAAACCGCGCATGCGGCTGCACGAGCCAAGAGCCGCTTGCTTGGGAGCGCTTTCGCTCTCCGAGGCCTCGCTGTCTGCGTCGAAGCTGCTCTCGGAGCGACTGGCTTCCTTCTCGCTGCCCTCGGTCTGACTCCCGTTCACAGCGGAGTCAGCAGGCGGGTCTCTGGGGTACAGGATGCCAGAGGGGCCTGCGGACTCCAGCTTCCTGGTCTGCTCCTGCATGATAACAGGGCTTCTGTCTTCTTCGTTGCCAGAAGCTTTTCTGGCAAGCCGCCTCTCCTGGTTCAGCTGGTTCTGCAAAGTATGGCATTGCTATTTGGTTAATGTCGGGAGAAACGGGACAAAACTGCCATCTCTCGTAACCTTTGAAACAGGGCAAATTCGAAGCAAATTAGGCCATTTTTTTTATCCTCTACTCACACGTGTTTAAGCAACTTAATCTCTTTAAGATCTTTTTAAACCAATTTAGGATTAGAATTGTACAGCAGTCAGCTAAAAACATTATACTTACTGTGGGATCAGTACTTCCCACTGCTACTTACATTCCCCATGTGACAGCTGTGAATGGCACATTCCAAGGAGTATCCATTTAATCTAGCTTAAGCATCTAAAATACTCAAGTTTAAACTAGTCATCATTATCCCTGCTTTCAGGGTCTCAGCTGATGAAAATTAGCACCCCAAAACCAAAATTCATCTCCGCCAACTATAAGATGCTTGAAAATGACAAACCTCATTAATTAGACAGACATACCCAGTAGCTCATTTCATCCATTCCTATGGAAATCAGAGTTGTGGTCTCCTTTCTGCCCTATCCAGTCCAGTTTATTGAATCTACACTAGGTTCAGTAAAAAGCTTTTAAAATCTGAATTATTTCTGAATTTTGAAAGCATCTCAGTAATTACATTTCTATGGACCATTAACACTGCCACACTCTAGTTTGGAGAGTGCCACGTCTCCTCTATTAGAGAGTTTAATTAACAGCATAACCCTACAAGAACACTTATTAAAGAAAGGGACGTTAATAACAACCAGGAGCCTTTGTCCTGCGTCCATTGGCAATCCCACAGCCCCACGATCCTTAGGACAGATCTCCCTTTTCTGCCAGCCCCGCTATGCACAAGGCCCCGTTCTGCCAGGCCGGACACGCGCTGTCCCCCCGTGCAGGCCGCGCACCAAGAGGCGCTCGCAGGGCCGAGCTCCACGGCCCGGCTCCTGGGGGCCGCGCGCAGGGTGTCCGAGGGGCTCCCGCTGCTCCCGCTGCCCCTCGCGGCAAAACCAGCAGCATGAATTCAAACCAACTTGCAGATTTTTTCCTTCCTCCTCAAAAAGGAGGCCACCTTTTTTGGAAAGCAAATGGTTTCTCGATAACTGTCATTCCTCACGTTTCTCGTAACAATCTAAATGTTTTAAAACAAATCCATGTCAGACATATGAAAAATAACATTGTTAGCTGTCAAAATTCCCACCCATGTAGCCCTATAAACTTCAAAATAAACTTATGGCTGGCTAGTGAGGGTATTTAATTCTTACCTTATCTTTTGTTAAAGGGTGTTTCCTGACAATTTTTGGTTGATTATTCAGTGCAGTGATAGAAGAACAGTTATACTGACCAAGGTCTGCTTCTTGTACACTTTTGCCTTTACTTGTCCTTCCCAAAGGCACAGGTTTTGCAACCTAAGAAATTGGACAGTACGATTTAGGAAATCTCTTACACACTTTTTCCTTTGCAGCGCACAGAAAAGAGCAATGGAGGAGTTTTCCTTTAACTTAGAAAATACTAACCTAGATAAATCTAATTAGCTAGCCCCTGGCAAGTGAAAGAAGATTGCTTTTAATTTGACACACATAAGCGTGCTGTCACGGATACAGCGCGAGCCACACAAAACTGGAGTAATGGGGAGTTTCTGTACAGAAAGTATTCCTAGCCACGTGTTGTAGCCTCATACAAGCACACACGGAGCCGCAGGAGGTGCTGGTTTGCAGAGGGGCACGTGAGAGCTCGGGCAGGTGCAGCCTCGCACCTCGTGAGGCGGCTGCGCGGCCCCCACCGCGTCGAGGGCAGCAGCCCCTCCGCAACGGGGGGCAGAGGGACACGTGTTTCCACGAGGGTGTGTAAAAAGCCCCCTGGAAACTGCAGGCGTTTATTAGGTGGTCTGTTTCTTACCCTTTCCTCTATTATAGGAAGTGAAAGATCAATGAAAGGTTCTTTTACTGTTGAAATCTTGAAAAAAAAAAGAAAAATATATTATATATTATTACTAAATTACTATAAAATATATTAAGTACATAAAACTATATATGGGATTAGTAGGTAGCTCCCTTTTTTAAATTATTATCAAAGACCATACAGCAAACTAATTAGTTACAAGATGTATCAGATTACAATGAAGAACTTCCCACATGCATTTTTTCTATTTGGAATTTTAAGCTGGCTCTGATTTTCTTCAGTAGGTAGGGCAGACTGCAGCAGAAGAAGCAGCAGCCAGAACTAAGGGGCCAGGCCGTTCACCACTGCAGAACAGCCGCTCCAGGAATGTTTTGGAAGCTGCGTGGGGCTTGCAGATGGGCAAGAATGTTTTGGACAACACCAAGGGCAAATCTAGTGGAGTTATGAGGAAAACTAACTTTGAAACTTTCCTGATTCTAGACATCTCTGTGCAATGCTGAGTAATGAGATTGGCTGATGACAGGAGGATTACAGCTCTAACCTCGTGCTTCCCAGAACAGATCAACTCAGGCTTACAGATCATGGCCGAAAGTTTCACTGGAAAATTTCACATGACAACACTTTTTAAAATACCTTTATATATACATATTTTCTACATTTTTCTTTTGTCTCCTATAAAGGATAGAAAATCTTTGCTGAAACTAGACAGATTTGGTAAATCATATCTAAAGCCATTCTCTCACAGCACTTTTCACCTGCCTTTCTGGCTATAATATCTCTTTCAATCCTCTTTGTTAAACTCTCTCCCCTGCTGTTCTGAAATTCCTTCCAAATCTGACTTATCTTGCCTCGGAAAAGACTGTAAAAAACAAAGCTTAAAACAAAATCAGCTTGTGACCATAACTTGTAGAACTCTGATTCAGTCATTGCTCCACTTCTCTTGCATTGAGGACCAAATCCACCTCGATTTGGACGGCAGGCTCCTCTCAGCACAAAGCTTATGTTAACCTGTTGGCCCTGCATGGCTTAGGTTTGAGTAAAAAAATAAATTAGGTTAAAACTATCGTAACTATGACCCCCTGATGAGCAATGTTTACATGGGGCTTCTTCTAGACCTCAAGTTTGCATGAACTAGCCAAAAATATGTTTGCCAATGCAGGCAAAGAAAACTGACTGATAAACTTGTCCTAGCACTGCTAGCAAAGCCTGAATCCTGCGTGTGGAATATAAGAATGAAGCAAAAACGAGGCGCACGTGGTACAAATGATCCCTACTGGGGTTACAGCTGAAGTTCTTCATTGGTGCTAGTAGCTCACATCACACACGGGAAAGTTCACCTGGCACCGCAGAACTCTGCTTAATTACTCACACTGACTGCTTAATCTCTATAATATGAAATACAATGTTTTAAACCAAAAGGAAATGTAACATTCAGTAAAAAGAATCATGCAAGTAAGCTTTTTCCCTCCCAAAGTTAAATAAAACTATAAGAATTATGGAAAACACTTAAAGGAAATAGCAGTGATATTAATTATGAAAGGAACATGTTGTTCATTAGTGATATTAAGTTAATTTGCAAAAGTACTTCAAGAAAAAAAGAAAATGTTTTTTTTAGCATTTCCCCGCTCCTACTAATTCAAAGCAAATATTTTCCAAATTATAGGTATACCCAGAGGAATAGGCAGGAGGATTTATGTTTTAAGGTAGGTGTTTAAAAAACATAAAGTAAAATTGATGGGGGGTGGGGAGGCAGAAGTAGTATGGACAATTATAGAATTACAGAATTATAGAACCTCCAGCCTTAAACTGTTTAGATGCAAAATTAAACCCAATGTTTGAATTCTTTTTAAATTCACATGACCCCTCTTCCTAGGTTTGTGGTGGATAATGCTTTAAAGAAGGAGTAAGTCACTTTAAATGAGATACTTTCAGTAGTGTTTTCAATAAAGTTTTTTAAACAGACAAGCAAGCAAGTATAAAATCGGCAATACAATTTTATACTTTCAAGACAACATAATCAAACCAGTATGTGATCTATTCCACATCAAACCAAATTCCAAAATACCTACATTTTCACATTCCTCACACATGACAGTGCTAGTCAATTCACCAACAAAGATCCTATCTATGAAGTTCATCTTCACACCCTCTCTTCCATACGCTGAAAAAACATTGCCTTTTTTTAAAGGTGAAGAAAACAGATCCAATGCCACACTATAAGTACAAAATTATCTCTAGGAGTTACTGTGAAAGTACAATATTTAAGCATACTCAAATTTTTTTCAACACAATTCAATGTATTGTATGTATTCATCATACATTGCTATTTTAACGTTTAATAATATTTTAGTCATCCAGCGATATAAATCCCTTTATCCTTCCCTTCCCATCTACTTTAAACAAAATAATAATGCATCTCTCAAGAAGAGGCTTTTTAAATATATTCTGCATTAAAAATACATAAGATTTTGAGTTATCAGTCTTAAAAAATGTAATATTTTCTTGTCTGGAAGGACAAAGATGGCAGATGGCCTGTAACATTTTCTATTTTTTTTTGTTTGAAAATATAAAACTCAAAAGAATGAGACAAAAGCTTGTTCTAATATTTCTCTATGCACTAAGTCATGTAGATGTGAGAAGGGGCATTTTTGGAACAGTGTAAACTGTACTGAAATTTTAATTAATGCAAAAATCCCCACATCAGAAGCGTTTAATATATACAAAAGAAAAACCAAAGCTTGGAATTTAATTATTTTATTATATGTTATTATGAAAAAGCTTCATCTCTTGGCTTTGCAGTCATATTTGGAACTTTCATAGTAACTAAGAACTAACAAAAATTCAGTTTTGTTTCTTGAAGCAGCCTCTCTGAGTGATACAGCACTTGTAGCTACGTAACAAATCCGAAGATGCAGCAGACTGTTTCAGAAGACTCTCTATATCATTACAAGATGCATTACTGATCCAGGGGAAGGTTTTACTCTGGATGCCAAAGCTTCAAGTCAATATGTATTCATCTTGCTATACTTTAAACAGGCGCTAGATGGCACTAGAATAACACATAATATAAGTCCTGTAACGCTGTTCGCAAGTTTTGAAGAAAATTCTATGTGAAAACTTGTGCAATTTTAAAACTGATTCAATAAAGAGTTACATACCTTTGACTTTTCTTCTGGTCTCCTCATCTGCTGTTTTAGTAGTTGGATTATTGAATGCCTTTAAGATACCAGTTTGTATACGCTACAATAAAAGCCACAAGCATATAGTAAGTGCCTTCAGCGCAAGATAAACAATCTAAAACCTACTAAGATATGATTAGATTTTTTACACTCTATTTCCATAAGAGAGAAATAATTTAGTAGTTTAAAACTACTGGTTTTACTCGATAACAGTGTCACTGTTAGCCACTTAAGTAACCCTCCAAAGATTTCCTCCCCATAAAAAGGAAGCAGTTGCAGATCACAGGAAAGTTTATCCAGAAGACAGGGATCTAAAAGATTTCCCCTGAACAAACGTGTTTCACTTCTTTCTCTGATAGAAAAGAAACGTACAGAAAAATGGGCTGTTACTGACTGACTGGGAGTACAAAATGCTTGAAAGCAGTTGACTATCTTCTAATAACCAGATTCAATGAACACATTTACGGAGTACTTTCATTGCTTTTATTTATATTATAGCACCGCACACTTCTACATTCTATCACGATACCTTAGGAGAGAGAGAAGACTTTAATGAATTCATAAAAACATTTACTCAAAAATCCTAAAAAATATTTTTGAAGGAAATACAAAGCAACAACTTCATATGCATACACTGTAGTTACACTGCTGCAGAGCAGGGCTTTCCACCCTGCTCCTTAGGTGCACCTGTCAAAGCAAAATCCTGCGTTATTCGGATGCAGAGCCTGGTAACAGAACTGCATGCGCTGACAAAACACAGACACGCTGCCAGGGAACACGGTAGCACGTACCCTGGAGCTGCGTTTTTCCTGGGAAAAGTACTTGCTCTCTAATTCACAAACTCCAGTAACGCTGATACAACTCTCTCCCATGTAGGCATGCAAACAAAGTTTACTGTTAAACGTGGTACTGAAGCAATGAGAGCAAGGTACCGTTCTGGAAACAATGTGTGATACAAAACGTCCTACAATCTGTGTTCGAATACAAGAAAACTAATGACTTATTGCAGGCAGACATGTACACCTTTAAACCACGAACCGAACGCCATAAGGACGGGCTGTTTTGGAGGTTTGGTGTCTCATTCAGCCACCCATCAGACAGAGTCACACTCCGACCTCACGAGTGTGTGACCTGGCTTGTGAATCAGCTCCTGTTGCCCCGAGCTCCGCTTTGTTCATCTTAAAGCCAACAATATCCTAAACGCACTAATCAATAGGTAATTCACCACGTTGAACACCATAAATGGGTTTAGGGCCATAAGCAAGGCTTTTGTTGGGATTAGTGCGTTGAACCATTTATTTAGGTCAAAGAAAGACACAGTCTTTGAATGGCGAGGGTGCCGCCGACAGTGGCAGCAGACATTAATCAATTAGCAGCAGGGCTCAGCTACCTCGGCCCTGGTGCGAAACCATCCCCAGCGCACGCCGTGGCACGGCAGACAGCGTGTCACGCTCATCGGGGCATCGACAGCCTTTTATCTGCGAAATCCACCGGGGGTCTGTGCGTGTGTACCCTGTTTTAATGGGGATATGGAGAAGGTCAATGTTGGTGTCACAAAGGTGATCTGTCAGGTGGAAGAAGAGGCATCGTGGAGCGGGTTTGTTATTAGTTATTTAGCATCTTGCAACTAATGCAACGATGTATTACTTTAGTCAAAACTCCTTTAGATACATATATATGTGTAAGTATGTAGAGGCGGGCTCTCCTGAAATCGCCACGGAGCAGCAGGCCCCTCGCGGACACCCGCGGCAGCGCTCTGAGCGGGGCTGCTCCCTGAGCTTCATGCTTTCCAA